GAACAGATCCCACCTCTGCATTAAAGCTAATTAGAAAAATATTAGAAGCATGCTGTAAAGGAAAAAACCTACTGATCTAAATGACCAGGTGAAAAACAAGAACCAACTATAGATCACTATATAATGATTACCTGACACGAGAAGTAAATAATAAGAAGCGCTAACAGCTGCAAGGCCCACTGTGCAAGATTATGCGAACGAACGTCTGTTGGAGGCCCGTAACGGTAACAAACAGCAAAAGAAATAATTATAATTGTAGCGAAATATGCAATGACAAATTTTTGATACTTTAGAACAATCGCAGTAAAATTTTTCCACAAAAAATATACTGTGTAGAAAGATACGGACCAACCACCAAATAGTAATGGTACTCCAAACAACCACTTCTGCAAGCATAATAAAAAGAAATTTCACAAGAACAGGATACTTTCGTGAACAAGCATGAAACTAAAAATATGAATTTTTTTTTGAAACCAAAAGGCAGATTTGACAAAACTTAAACGTGGGGAATGCGCTTCCAATATAAACTAACTTTAGGAGCAAAACGATAAACAGTAAATCCCACGATCAAAAGAGATGCAATAACACCAAAGGCGCAACCACTAGAGTAGAAAAACAAGGCGTTCCGTACCAAGAAATAGGAAAGGAGATATAATATAATGGCACCAATAAATGCGATGGCTCGAAAATAGTTAATTTCTAAAGAGAAATTAATTCAATGATAGAAATAAGTCACTAAAAAGTGAAATCTCACAAAAAAAAAGTAGTATAACAATGCTTTAAAAGTATAAAAAACAGAAAAATAACAAAAAATTAAATTAAGAAACCTACCCCATATCTTCAGCCTCACAACATATGCTTCATTAGTAGCAATCCCAATAACAGTTCGATCAAACGGATTTAAATGTTTTGAATGAGCAAATGAAAAGTGTCGAAGCACACCAAATAAGCGATGGTCATCATTATATTGCTCTAAGACCGCTGAACAGTTTTCGCCCTGGAAGTAGATACGAAATGATGAATAATTCCAAAGTCTTTCTTGCTTGCTTTTCAAGACTAGTAAGAAGTTACTCAAAGCTATTCTAGTCAGTCTTTGTTACGTCTGTGATAAAATGAAAAACAGTGATTCCAATAAAAAGCAAAAATGAAAAGCATAAGTAAAAAACTCTCAACACACCAGGTTAGTTCCAAAATTATATCACAAGTAATAGACAGACTAAAATCCACTTTAACTGTAACAACCTGATACACTCTGACATCAGTTAAATTGATCTGCACATGTGCGTCCAGAAATAAATGTGAAGGGACGCGTTCGTAACCACGAAAAAGGTATAGATCCAATGTAGGAGACCATGCAGAAGCTTTAGGAGCCACTTTTATCGGTAAATAAGAAAGTTCTGAAGAAAAATTACGATTGAAAAAGATAAAAAAAACGAAAAAAAAAAAGTAAAACTTTCTTTCTATGTGTTCAATTATATCAGACTGCAGAATTATAAACAGTTTAATTAAGCAAAAGTTTTTTCCTAACAACTTTAAAATTTTAAAACCAATACCTCTAACTTTACAATCGTCCGATTCGACAGCAGCAACTAGCACCAAAAACCAAATCCAAGAATGCAGTATCCACAGAACACAATGATCAAATATCATCGTTTATAAAAAACTGCCATAAATCCACAAGAAAAGAAAAAAAAAAAAGAACAGAAAAAGAGTTGAATTGCACCAAAATTTAAACAAGTATTAATTCATACTTTGTGAAAATTTACCAAAGTTATATGTTAAATTTTATATTGCCTTTCTTTTTGAGAAAGAAAAAGTTTCGTCAAAAATCATCCGAATACAACCAGATTTGATTCCAAAGATAAATGTTTTTTCATCTGCAATTTTTTAGCGGGATATTTTAAACCGCTACATTTGTTGGCTTTTTTCCAAAAAAAAAAAAAAAGTCTTTTAATACCAAATTGACCTGAAGAAAAATTTCGCTACAGTAAAACTTATTGTTAATACGATTAGAAATAATTGAAAAAATTGATCATACAAGATTTTTTTTTTTTTTGCTGCCTTAGGGGAATTTCCACGCGAAATAATTTAACTGTTTTTTTTTCTTTTTTTTCTATCAATTAAGTTTTTTCAAATTATATAGAATCAAAACAAAATTATCTGTGCTAAAAGACTTTATCGGCTAATACCATTCAGAAATATGTTGTAATTAGGTAACAATTTTTGTTTTCTAAAGAAAACTATTAGTTTTTTTTTTCTTTTAAAGCTAAAAACGTTTAAGTTTGTTTGTTATTCAATAATCTAACAATTTATTGCCTCGATTATTAGTCTGCTTATTTGTTGAACTAATATGATAGTTTTCAGTAATCAAAAATTTAACTGATCAAAACCATGACAAACAGCCACACAAAAGCATCACCAAATATTGTCTTTGTTTGTTCGCTTATTTGGTTGTTCTTTTGACCTAGTCATCTGAAATACCAAGTTTTAGTTACTGCGTCACATTTATTAAAGTCTTTGTAGTTGAATGGATGGACTTAAAAGATGCATTAACATAAAAAACTGAGGAAGAAATTGATACATTTAATTTGGCTTTGAATAACCAAACATAAAATTGGATTGAAAATTCTGATGAGAAAACCAAGTAGGAAAGGAAAGTTCAGAGATTTAGAGTTCAATATTGTTTAGTGCTTTCGGAAAAAAGACTTTTTCAAGATTGAAACACTTACTTTTTGTTTGCATTTAGTGAGCAAAAATTTACAAAGCATAATTTTATGCTTTGCCTAATCTTACATTGACTACTGTTTATTCAGCTTTGGATAACAGTACATCTAATGAGAAGCAAAAATGAAGATATATTTGATTAGATAGCACTCTAAATAGGTTTAATTATTTGCAAAACCTACTGCAAAATTAATTTTCTTGTGATTTCATTAAACCTTTGGTTATACACTGTTTTTGCAACTTTAACTGTTACTGAAATTTTTTTCGCAACTATCGATATATTGTACAGCAAGTTTTAATCAATAAAATGGCAATTCCAATTTTTTCTTTTTCGAATACCCTAACAAATTTGAAAACAACAACAACAACGGAGAGGAAAAATACAAAACTGATTGGCGTTGTAAAATCCAGAAAAAAAGTTTATAGTTTCTATTTAGTATAAAAAATCTAGCCAAGAATACAGTTTGTGGGCATGTAAAATGAAATTGATGGAGACTGGTGAAGCCATTATGCGTGCATTTTAAACAGTTGTTCAAATTACGGACTTGGAAGTATATTTGCTAGGAAATACTACTCTTTTTGAAAGGTTTTTTTGCAGAAGTTAATAGCTTTCCTTCCATGTTCCAGTTTTATTTATTTTATTTTAATTGTTACTGCTGCTTTCTAATAAAAAATAGAACGTCGAAAGTTTAATAGAAACTTTTAGCTTTTACAATATTCTTCAATTTTTTTACTACACTATTCTAACTAGATACATTCGTCCAGTCAAAATCCTTCAAAATAAACCTTTTGCTGTACCAAAATTTGAAAACTAGACAAGTGTCATTTTACTTTTTTAACCCAAAACTTTATAATGGGCAAATAATTTGAATTTAGAAGAATCAGTCTACAGATATTTAGTTGGTCAATTTTGCTTTGATTGCTATTTTTATCCCATTACAAATGGCTCCCGCGCATGTTCGTTCAAAACTGAAAATATTTTCCCAAATTTTTTTTTGATGTCTTTTCTTAGAAAGGGTCGACTGTAACTTAAAGAAGGAAAGAGCGTGCTGAAGTTACCAATCTAAAATGTTTTTTTGAAAAGTGTTCGCGGACTGACAGCTTGTATATGTAATTTGTTTTTTATTCTTAACAAATTACGAGGTATGGTCAACAACTGGGAAAAATCCTACCTGTTTTATTTGTCATCTTCTTAAACGGTCACTTCTTTCATAATACTCTGAAGACACACTTAAAAGTACAAAGATAAAGCTACAAAACTGTGTTTTCTTTCCTGACTTGTTTAGTTCGATCTGTAATAAAATTTTAACTTTTTAAACACTTACATAAATCTTTCACTTTGTAAAAGCAAGAAAATTTTTTGAAAAAATTTAAAGTACTCGTAGAAAAGCTTTATTTAACTTGCAGAGGAAAACGTGAGCAATTTGTTCCTTTAAAGTTACAGGAAAGATTGAGGGGAAAATACAACGTTTGCTGATGTTATAGGGAGGCTTGAAACTGAACAGTTTTTTATGGGGAGAGAATATTTTGACAAAATCACTTTCAAATCTGTAACTGAGAAAAGCGTCGTCAAATTTTCATCTTCTGCACTTTAGTTTTTGATTTCTTAATGACACTCTGACACATCTGCGTTATATAGGCTAATATACAAATGCCTGTATAAAATGTTATCTTTTTCAATGAATCTTCAATTTTTTAGGCATAACGCATATTTACTGTAGAAAACAAAAAGATGGTAGTTCGAGGCCCGACTCTGAAGCTGCCTACAGGTGCAGAAATGCCTGCTGTTGGCCTTGGAACCTGGTTGGTACATCTCGGCTATAACATTAATATTTCTTGACACTTAATAAAAACTGTTGAGAACTCGACTTAAGTTTTATTTGCAGTCAAAACCAAATGAAGTTGGGAATGCAGTCAAATATGCTTTGGACTGCGGGTATCGTCTCATCGATACAGCAGAGTTTTACGGAAACGAAAAGGAAATTGGTGACACTTTGCAAGCATATTTTAAAGCGGGCAAGCTGAAGCGTGAAGACGTATTTATTACAACGAAAGTAAACATTCGTTTTTTCCGGCATACGTTGCTTTCCGTCTTTAGGTTTTATCAGAATTGATGCTGTGAGTAAAGAAGCATCGTTTATTTGTCCAGTATTTTTAATTTAGTAAAAATAATTCCTGTTAAATTTTGTTTGCTGGTCATTATAGTGCTTCTGCAATCATTTCAAACCAGAGCAAATGGATGCAGCAATTCAAGGTTCTCTTGATAAACTCCAATTCGATTACGTAGATCTTTACCTTGCACACTCGCCCGCTGCACTAAACGTAGCTCTTCTGGATACCCATTTTGTATTTTGTAGCTTAACACCAGCCGGTTTTTTGGAGCTCAAAAGAAATTTTTTAGGAAGACAAGTCGATACCAGAGCTTCCTGTCACAATCGAACAAATTTGGCAGGTAACTCTTCCTCTTCCAGTTTTCTACAGTTTGTTCTTATGGTGACATAACACGGGCAGTTGGCTTTTAAAATGCTAAAATTAAAGCTAACAAACTTTTATGGGGTTTTATTTTAAAAAATAGTCATGATTTACCAGAAATTGGTCAAGAAGAAACGTTTTGCCTTTCGTTAACATCAAAAATTCTTTTTAGAAATTCTCACAAACTTTAGTAACGGCTTGAAACTTTAAAACCTTGAAAGTGTGTATAAGAGGGGTTATGCCAAAGCAATCGGAGTGTCAAATTTTACTGTGGCACAAATGGAACGAGTTTTAAAAATTTCGACAGTGCCAATTCACAATCTTCAAGTAAGTGATATTTTCAATTAACTTATTTTTTATAACTGTTTGCTTTCTATGCAGACTGTCCATTAAAGCTATACAGACAGTATAAAGTCTTAACAAGCTAGTTTTTCAAAGGTTGAATGCCACCTTTATTTTCCACAATTTGAACTGGCGGAGTTTTGCAAGAAACACGATATCACTTTGACCGCATAAATTTTTTAAATTTTGAAAATTATCATCGCGTAACTTCTTCAGTGGAGTTGAATGGAAACACACACCAGGATCTCTAGAAGACGGATTGGTAAAAAAAACTTGGTGAAAAGTATCATAAAACTGCGGCACAAATTTTTATTCGGTACTTGGTGCAAAGAGGCTTTTCCCAAATTCCAAAAAGCGTTAATAAGAAACGTATTGAGGAGTATTGGAATGTAAGTCGACAAAATTTCTGGCTGTAACATTTATAATTTTATGCACTTTTTGATTGTAAGAATTTTGAGGTAATTTACAAAGTTTTTCAGGTTTTCGATTTTGAAATAAGCTCATCTGAAATGGAACAGCTCAATGGGTTAAAGAAGAACTACAGAACTGCTGGCTGGGACTTGTAGGTTTTTTTTTTCAATTCGCCTCACCACCTCAAGTTTGGTTTACCAGTAGACTGCACGCACAGTGTAGTCCTACTCGGTCATTTTATAACATTTAATATCGCGCTGCTAAAAATAATAGTAGTTTTTAGTTTAAAAATTAAACTATACGTGTTAATAAAAAATTTTTTTTTCTTTTTAAACTTTTAGTGCTCTGCTTACAAAATTTTAAATTTTTAGCCTGAAGGGCCATTCGGAAGACCCGTTCAAGAGCGAAAGGTGACAGAATACATAAAAAAAGAATATGTACGAGTTATCATTGTACAACGGCCTTTTGTAATTCAATATTCAAAGTTTTCAATGCTCTTCGGGACTTTGGAAATTGTTGTTTGCTAGGTTCTCGTGGCTGTACGGTCTTTTCTTTTTATGACGTTTATTTTTATAAATATATTGTATTCCTGATATAAAAATTTACTGTTGAGGAAAGTATTCAGTAGTGTGGTGCGCATTATATTCATGTTAAATTACTTAGTCGATTTTTTCTTTTTATTTACTGGTACTGTAAAAAAAAAATAAAGTTTAGTGGAAACCTGTTTGAATAGGGTGGAAGATGAGAATAGTAAGTATCAGAATGAAGAAAGAAAAGGAGTGAATGAGCGAGTTATTCGGCAAGATAACTTTCTGTTTTACACATTCATTTAGTGAGTTCAGAACATATGCAACCCAAATAAAAGAGAAGACTGTTTCAAAAACACTGGTGAAAAAAAAAATGAAGTTTATTGTAGCGCTACACCCGTTTTGCATTGTCGACCTTTTTTCATTTTTCCATATATTTGAAAATATTTAAAAAATTATATCAAAATGTAAAAACACAAGTCATCGTGTGAGAGTAGTGGTTTTTAAAGCCAATTTTTTTCGTTTTTCTGATTGATTTAGGTTATATAAGTTTATAGAATGTCATGAAAACCTACAAGGACTGAAAGTTTAGGCCAAGTTACTAGCTCAATAACTTTTATTTTCCGTAGATTTTTTGCCAGTAACATTTCTGAAAAGTTGAAGACCTGAATGAATTAGTATTGAAAAGTTGAGGACCTAAATGAATTAATCTTCACTGGTAATATTGGTTCTTGTCTCTCTTAAATGGATTTTTAGTGCTGCAAAATCACTTTCATTTGTAGTTTTGTATCATTTGCGGAGGCAGATTTAATTCCATATAATGTTTACAAATTTCTCATTTTTAAAAGTGGAAGGTATGTAATACAATAGGTGAGTCTTTCTAGCTGCAGGTTACGTCACATATTGCGTCACAAGGAAGTGACGTAATGCGTGACAAAATCAGTGTAAATTTGCAAAATCTGAAAATATTCTAGACCGATAAGAAGTGATAAGAGTCTAATCTAAAAATGTCTTCTGCAAACATTAATAGTCAATTAGTTTTCAGGTCAAACAATTTACAGCGTTTCAAAGCATTCGCAATGAAGTGTAGACAGGGCAGAGCTGAGTGCAAGAGTCCACTCCGACAAGCGTAACCTCAATAAAATCCATGATGGTGAAGAAAATCCGGTTATTTACGGTGGTCTCTCTCGATGTTGGGTGAGCAGTCCCGTTTAGAGAAAGCTGTTTGTCGTAAACGCCATGCTGAAGCAGCGATTGAGGAAACTAAGTGTCGCATGTGCAGTGTCATTGACCTTGCTATTGTAAGCCTTTCTGCATTATAGTTTTCTTAATTTATCATATGGTTTTAGTGGTTTTTTGGCGTTTTTTTGAGTTTTAAATAGTCAGGTATAGTTAACGAGTTATGTTATACGTTCAAATTGCTGTGTACTGTCGTTTAACCTGTATTAATTTAGGGACATGTTTCAAAATGTATTTTTGAAACTGAATCTGTAAATGACTATTTCTTCTAGTATTCGTATACGACTAATATTTTCAGTTACTTGAAAAGTCAAGAAGTATGCAATGACAAATTTATATTACATTTTCTTATCTATTTTGAACGCATGGTTAAAAAGAGATTTTTTAGGAATTTTTGATACTGGCGATTATATAAGGAGACAAAGCGTTAGTGAGGAGAGACGTGCTAAAGGAATAGATTAGATGATCGAGATGCAGGAAAATTTCAAAATCACAAACAAAATTCTTTTTACTGCTATTAAACTGGTAGATCAGTATTTGGACAAAATTGGGTACGAAGTGGAAGATCAAGATATGGGATTGATTGGCTCAAGTGCCTTTTTTACTGCTTGTAGTTTTTAGGTGAGTATTTTGAACTATCAGCTTGCGCTGTGGAGAGTAGCATAAAATTAGCTTACAATCATAAATTATTGCAGGAAGATTACCCTCTACCAGTCGACTTATTTGTCTGCATGTGTGACGATGCTATTGATCTTAAAGACCTGTTGCACATAAAGAAAGACATGCTCTCGACTGTTGGGCATCATATAGAGTATCCGCTCTCTTGTCAATTCCTTTGTGAGTTGAGCAAGGTAATTTTTATAGACACATTTCGAAGTGAGAATGCGTACTGCTTTAATTTTTATTACTGATGTTGCCGCTTTTGGTTTGTTTTGTTTGAAGTTTTCACTGCGCTTTGCTCTGTGGAAATTTTGTTTTTAACAGTATTATGGGTACCTGATATTGGCAAATTTCAAGTTTCGCAATCGGGCGCAAAATCACAGACTTTGGCACACTTCTATTTAGAGACTTGCCAATAATTTAACGAGTTTGTGGGGATTTGTGATAGTTTGTTGGCTTCTGCCTGTCTGCTTCTGGCTTTGAGAGTACAAGAAAAAAGCGATTGGGTAAGCATTTTTATATAATTGGATGTATCTCCGCTTCTTATTACTCTTATTGGTTTATAGAAGACATTATGGATTTCGCGTTTTAGACTCCTGTTTTGGCGAGTTACACTGGGTATCAAGTGGACAATGTGGAACCACTAATGTGGGCAGTCAACCATGCTGTAATGATGCGCTCAAAAATCTATCCCGAACTGACGGCGAGCTTCAGGAAATATAGCACATTGTATGATTTATTTTATCATTAAATAAAACTAAAACCTCCTACTAGTTGTTCTAACGTAACGACTGGTGATTGGTTTGAACGGTAAGTGTTCCAGTGAGAATTTTGAAGTCGCTCATATACCATTCTTGGAAGAAAAATTTTATCTGTCTTAAGCCGTCTTACCGCCATTAGAAGTTTCCTTCAAGGGTTGAATAAGTGTATTCTTTCTGGTTGTTTTGGCACTCTTGCACTTTGACGGCCCCAGCGCACTGATTGGTTCATTGGGTTTCTGAGGGAAATTTGAAGAAGCAGACAGCAGCAAAAGAGAAGGGGACAGTGGCAAAGGGATGGGTGTAGCAGCAACGTGGAGGGGAGAACAACAAAGAGGAAGGGGACAGCAACAAGAGGCGGCGGCGCAGCAGGGCTGAGTGAAGCGAAGCGTAGCAAGTGCGGCATAGTGTAGTAGCAACACTCCAACTTTTCGTGATGTCAACCCCGGTTTTGAATCCGTCAACTGTGCAATGTAGTCCTGCACAGTCAAACTTTCTGTATGGCTCTAAGACTGAAAACTAAAATCTAATACAGTTCATCCC